CGGGGTTATTTCTATCTTCTTGCATATACTTAAGTATGACCTATGGACCAGTATGTGGTTTATTTTAGAAAATGGCCCATGTGCAGCTAAAAAAATATGTATTCAGCTGTACTTTGTTGGTTCAATCTGTATATGTCCACCAAGTCCATTTGTTCCAAGCTCTCATTCAGTTCTGCTACTTCTTTTCTAATTTTTTGTCTGGTTGACCTATCTTTTTGGGATAAGGGGGTGTTAAGGTCTCCTGCTAAGATTGTGGTATTGGATATTACAATGTTCAAGTGTACTAAGATTTGTCTTATATAGTTGGGTGCTCCCGTGTTTGGTGCATATATACTTATGAGTGTTATTTTTTCCTCTTGAATTTTTCCCCTAACCAGTATACAGTGGCCTTCTTTATTTCATTCCATCATTCTTTATTTGAAGTTGAGACTGTTTGAGAACTAGATTGCTACCCCTGCTTTTTTCTTTGAGGTGCTGGGGCATGTAGTACTGTTTTCCATCTTTTCACTTTAAGCCTATGAATGTCTTTTCGAGTTAAGTGTGCTTCTTGTACACAGCATATTTTTGGATTTTGTTTCCTACTCCATTGTGCTAGTCTGCTTCTCTTACTTGGTGAGATGAGTCCATTTACATTGATGGTTATAATTGAAATGTGTTGACTTACGATTACCACGTTTTTTATCTGATGTCCTTTTTGTCCTGTGTTTAATTGTTTGCCCTATTTATTGGGTTTCTTATGTTATTGTTGGTGGAGTTCTGATCATTTTGGTGCCTGTCTAGAACATCTTTCTGTAGTCTGTGTAGGGTTGGCTTTGTCATCGTGAAATTCTTTAGTTGTTCTTTGTCATGGAAGTATTTCACTTCTCCATCAAACTTGAAAGAGAGTTTTGCAGGGTGTAGTAGTCTGGGCTGGAATTTATTTTCATAGAGAACTTGAAGTACACTGCTCCATGCTCTTCTTGCCTTCATGGTTTGTGAAGAGAAGTCGGCCATTATTCTGATAAGTTTTCCTTTGAATGTGATCTGCTTCTTTTCTCTAGCGTCTTTAAGTATATTATTCTTGTGCTTGATTTCTGGGATCTTGACTATTATATTTCTTGGTGTATTTTTAATTGGGTTGAAGTTATTTTGCATTCTGTATGCAACTGAATGTCAGATTGTTTCCTCATATTTTGTAAGTTTTCTGCTCTCAATTCTGCCCATATTCTTTATATATGATTTGCATTGACTCCTTCTTATGGATGCCTGTTAGTCTCACATTGTTCATCTTTACATTGTCTTGCAGGTGATGAATTATTTTTTCCTGCATTCTGCTTGTTTTTAAGAGATCTTTTCTTAATTTTCACTAGCTGCACCATTGTCTTCAAGATCTGGTACTCTGTCTTCACTTTCACTCAAATGGTTTTGCAAGCTTGTGATTGAGATTTTAATTTCCTCTATATCTTTTTGACTCTGTTTCATGCAATCTATTTCCTTACTGTATTGCTCATTCAAGGAATCCATCATTTTTCTAATCTCCTCTATTCTTTTTAACAATGTCTTCTTAAGAGGCAGTTATTAATTCTTTTACTACAGAGTTTTTTTCAGATTGGGCTTCCTCCATATGTTTCTGCATTTGATTCCTTACTTAAGGTGCTATGAACTCAGAGATTTCTTTTTTTTTATTTCAGAGGTTATTTCTGGTCTGAGTTCCTCTATACCTTTCTGCAGTTGTTTCTTTACTTCTAACCCTATTAATTCATATATTTCAGCTGAGCTTGTGTCATCTGTACTTGTTCTGGGTGGGCTCATGGCCTGAGATTGTATTTTGCTCTTTCCTTTTATCATTTCATATAGTACTATCCTCTGACCTTTTTTGTAGAGCTTTGGTGCAGTTATAATCTTAGCACCTGCTAAATTTTATGTGCAGATCTATTAAGTTTGAGTTTATCCAGTTATTCCTGCCTTGGGTCTGGCTGCTGTGTTCAGCTCTTTCCCGCTGCTGCCCTTGAGGGTGAACCTGTTGTGCCCCTGTGGCGAGATGTTCTGCTCCTGGACTAGCTGGGTGGATCTATACTCTACACTCTCTGCAGGGATTGCAGCTGCAGTGTTACACCTCAGGCATGTGTGCCTGGCCTGAGCTGTGCCTGGAGGGGGCAAGGTGGAGTAGGGGGGAGAGGAATGTCTCCCTCACACTCACCAGACCTGGGCTAGGACTGGGTCTGGGGGTTCCTGGAACGTGGCAGAAATTCCTACTCTGCGGGCGGGGTCTGGGCAGTGCTGTGGAGTGGTGCGGGGCGTCCCAAGGGGGTGGGAGAGGGTCTGGCCCACGCTGCACCTGGGCTGGGACTAGTCCCATGGGTGCAGGGTAGCAGGAAACTCAAATGGACGTTTTTAGAACAGACAGCAGTTTTATTGACTTGGTGCTAGAGGTAAAACTTAGGGCTCCATGTATGCTTGAAAAGAGTTCTACCAGTGATCTATGCTCCTACCTGGTAGTAATTTTTTAAATTGACAGATAAAATTATATATACTTACAAAATACAACATGAAGTTCTAAAGTTTACATAAAAGTGAAAGGGTAAATACATCTAATTGAGAAATGCATTATTTCATGTAGTTTGTATCTTTTTGTGGTGGTGAGAATACACCCAATCATGTTGCATTTTTGAAGAACACAAAATATCACTGAGTAGTTTTGAATATTCGGAGAACACCAAAAGGCCCGCACAAGAATCTGAGAGCATTGTTATAACTCAGAAAGTGGTACAATTTTGTCTTCGTATTATAGGCAGGTAGTCAGACATAAGTGGTGGGTGGTGGTCTCTAGAACTGTTAACCTGGTACAAGTAATTCTTTCTGCAGGTGATCAGGGCAGTTGAACTGTGCCAGAATTTTTATTTTTACTGAAAGCTGGCTAAGATGTGAGAAAGGACCCAGTGACAAAGGACCTTAAGTGGAGAGGCTACCACAAACTCACCACAAGCAGAACTTAAAAAGCTAAGGCAAGTCGGAGGATAGACTGAACAAGTTAGCAAGACGCTGTCTCAAAGCAATCATTTTAAAAAGGACTTAGGATGTTCTTCAGTGATAGAGCATGTTCTGGTATGTTTCAGGCCCTGCGTTTGATCTCCAACACAGGAAAATAGTTCCACAGTAATCATATACTTTCTATACTGCATCCCTGAAATCAATGATTTGTCCAAGGGGCCATATATATTTTTAATAGAAAACAATATTTGGAAAAATTGGCATGGTTCCTAAATGTTATCACTGCAACTATGATAAGTATGTTTTTCATAAAATTGTTTTAGCTCCAGTATAATCAATGCTTTGAGAGTTAGTAAGGCCTTGGTTTCCAATTTTGGTAGACTTAGTGGAAAAGATGCTGGATAATCAAATTAAAATGTTTTCAGTGGGCTGGTGAGATAACTCAGTGGACTAAGTGACTGCTTAGGCAGAGCAGGGACCAGGGTTTGATCCCAGCATGACATGCTTGTACCAGCCCCACCCAAGGGCGTGCTGAGCTAGCCACTGAATCCAGGCATAGTGGTGCATGCCTGTAATCCAGTGCTAGGGACACTAAAAACAGGAGGATCGGTATGAGTCTGAGCTGTGTAGTGAGACCCCATACCAAATACATTAAAAAAATTGTTCCCAGGGTAGGGAGATAGTTTGGTGACTTAAGTGCCTGCCTGGCAAGCACAAGGACCAGGGTTCAATCCCTGGTACTGCATGCCATGCTGGTCTCAGGGCTTCATGCATGCAAAGCTGGCCATCAAAACTGGGCATGGTGGTGCATGCCTGTAATCCCAATGCTGGGGAGGCTGAAACAGGAGGATCACTATGAGTCTAAGCTGCATAGCGATACCCTGTACCAAGTAAATAAAATAAAAGCTTTGAATTTTTTTTTCAGGGCTGGGTAGGGCATCTGTCTAGTAAGTGTGAGGCTCTTAGTTCAAGCTTTAGTAGCTAAATAAATAAATATTTTTATATATTTGCTATATAACTATAGATTACTATCTGCATTTCAGAAGCATTTTTCATTTGGTAGTAAGGGCTTTTTCTGTCTAGAAAGCAGGACTTCATACCCTTTCTTCACTAGAGCCAGAAATATAATCAAGAAAGAAAGGAATAATTTAGATTTAGTAATATGAAGAAAATTAGTTTGTTTTAATCTGATTCAGGAAAAATAACATAGGCTTACTTTCCCATAGTTTTCCCACTAAGTATACAAATGGAAATAATTCAACAGATGCTTCACCAGAAAAACAAGAAGGTAGCATGGATATGTACTTCAGGACTGAAAATTAATATTACACTGTAATAGTAAAAATGTTTCATGTTCTTTATTGCTCTAGGTTGTGATTTTATGGACATCAGAAGCACTGGCAACAACAACAAAAAATAAACCAATGAGATTAAATGAGGTTAAAAAACTGCCTCACAAAAAGGAAATGTCCACCGAGTTTATTAGAACTAATTTAGGTATGGAATAAGAAAAGATATGCAAAGCTTTTAGCTCTTAAGCAGCTAATCTAAACATATATAAGGAAATCCTACAACTAAGTAGCTTAAAAGTTAAAATCTGATTAAAATGTGCTAAAGACTTGAATAGACATTTTTCTAAAGAATAGATACCCATGGCCAAGATACATGTGAAAAAAATGCTCAGTGTACTTAATCACCAGAGAAATGTAAATAAAATGTCAATGAGATAATGTCTCACATCTGTCAGGATGGAAAGTACACAAAAACAAACAAAAAAAGATAGTACCTATTTTTCTTTTTACTTTACTAAAACACTGAGTTTATTTCACATGTGCATTTGTCTCCCTACCATCTCTATGTCTGACTACCACCACTACTATGTCTTATCATAACATTCCATACATACTTAAAACCAAGTAAAGGGTTATATTACATCTTAAAAAACTAAACAGGCATTTCAGACAACACATTCTTGGCAATGGGACCTGGACAACATTTATCAAACATGGCAGGGAAAGTTCACATTTGCATTACAAAAAGGATAGCCAGATAGCAACTGTTACAGAAATGAAAGAAGACGGAAAACTTTAACAAACTGTTTAAACTGTTTTCTTAAAGAGACTTCCTCCACTGCCAGAGACCTTGAACAGCCTCCTGGTCAGTCAACCGGAAGCAATTCTTCACATAATTGATGAATTCGGCTTCCACTTTGGGAAGAGAACCACCTTTTTCTATACTTGCTTGCGTTTTTGCTTTAATGTCTTCTACAGAACTAGGTCCTTTGGATGTTTTAGGAGTCTTTTCCTGTTTCTTGAAGGATTCCTGCCCTTTTGATTTTGGTGTTAATGGTTTTGAGTCTTTTCCATTCTGGTTTAATTTTGGTGCATTTTTGGCTGGAGTATCTCATATTGATTTCTTCACTGGAGATTTCTCTTCGGTTTCTTCATCATCAAAATCATCATCGTCATCATCCTCATCCTCGTCCTCCTCACCCTTGTTGTCTTCATCAGCAGCAAGTTTTACTTTTTTCTGTGGAACCTTGCTGCCACCTCCAGGGGCAGATTTCTTTCCAGACATATTTAGGAGTTTTACATCTTCCTCTTCGTCTTCCGACTCTTCATCTTCTTCCACAGCTACTAAATGCTGTCCACTAATATGCACAGACCCTGAACCACACTTCAACCTTAAGACAACAGGTGATATAATTTCAAAGGCCCTAAGGGAAAACATTGGCTGTGCAGACATTTTCAAATTTGCCAGTGTTACTTTAATTGGACTGCCTTCATAATTCATAGGCTCTGCTTAAACAATGTGCAATTAAGCCTTTGCCCCAGCCCCTAAATTGACCATTCTTAATGACAACTGGTGCTCATTTTTATCATTATCCACCTTAACATGGTAGTCTTCGTCAGCCTTTAGTTCACAATGAAATAGATAGTTCTGCGGCTTCAGGGGGCTCATGTCCATATCCATCAAATCTTCCACAGAGAGATGGCGTGCACTTAGGTGGAAGAGAATGCTGGTGGAAGTAAATGAGTACTGCTCCACAGAATAGATGCACAGGATGGAATCACAGGGCTAGTAACTATTGATGAAGGTGTGAAAAAATTGGAAACTTGGGAATTCAAGACGAATGCAAAATGGTATAGTCACTTTGGAAACTAGTTTTCATCAAAAATAAAAAAAAAATATGCTGGCCTAATAGCCCGTGGACTGAAGCACCTGTTTAGCAGAACGCAGCTGCCAGGGTTTGATCCCTGGCATGCTGTGGCAGCCCCATCCCCGGGGCACACAGAGATGGTGATTGAGACTGGGTGTGGTGGCACGTGCCTGTAATGCCACCACTTCGGAGGCTGAAAATAGGAGAAGCACTATGAGTTCAGTCTACATAGTGAGATCCTATAGACCCTGTAGATACTGTCCTAAATACAGAAAGAAAATATATATATATATATATATATATATATTAAAAATAACACTGTAGATGTCCTAAATTTTCTGATCAAGATTATGGTGCCACAGAGGAAAGTCATCAACAATGTAGAGTGTGCCTAAGGAGAGTCACGTGGAGAGAAAACATTCTCTCAGGCTTTCACAGAGAGCAAATTGGTCAAGCAATGGCCATGACTCATCCACATGGCTGACACTGACAAAGGATCTACAAACTGTGGTACAGGGTTTCAGGCTAAATCCTGCGGGGATTTGACTGACCTCGGCAGATACAAAAGTTACATTTTTTGTTATATAGGTCTTGCTTTATCTGGGTTTTAACCATCCAGCAGAAAAGTATAAAAACAAAGTATAAAAAGTAGAACCATATTAATATGCTGAGCTGTGAAAGGCCCAAGTCAACAACTTCTGACATTGCCAGTCCTAGGATAACCCACTACTCTTATGGACTACTGGACTATATTGGAATATTTTGCTGAATTCACACATCTACAATGTTTAAATGGCAATAGAATACCCTTCTCTGACAAAACTAAACAAAAAAAGGGGATAAAAATGAAGGTCCATTTTTTATCTGCTATGATAGTTAGGATAGATATACAGCTGGTTTATCTTAATTCAATGAGAAGAAAGATTTGTACTAATAGTGTTTGGACAGGATATCATGTCTGCATCTTGTACTACGAATAACCACTAAGAGGACAATATGCACTTCACTAATTATTGAAACTGTCCTACTAATTGGTTTTGAAACTGTCTCATTGCTATTTGTTTCTCAATAAAATTAAGAAAAAAATAACAGTGTGGCATTTGGATTTAATAATCAACTAACTCTAGGATGTTTCACTGAGAACCTACTGAACCTTTATTTAGAAAGCAATCAGTCATTTTTTTCTAATATTCATGAGCTGATGAGCATGAACCTGGAAGACCTTGAAAAGGTAACAAGTTTGTCAAAGCATTTTAACAAGAAAATTAGGCCCAGGGAGATAGCTCAGTAGAATAAGCACTTGCCTGGCAAGTGCAGAGTCCTGAGTTTAATCCCTGATACCACAAAATAAAATAAAATACAAGAAAATTAAAATAATGGATCAATGAGAAGTTGTAGTTTAATCTGTGAAGTATTTGTGTTTTCATTACTATTGTGTACAGTTAGGGCATTGTTCTATTGCTCTGGTGTTTACTAGAGATGGTATTATAAATGGATAAAAGCCACAAGCTCAGGAGTAGACTGCTTAGATGACAACTAAAAACTATATTTTCGCTGTGTGAATCTATGCTTCAGTTGTTTCCTCATTTCAATATCTAGAATCATGATAAATTGTCAAAAATAGACTTAATACCTATAATCTACTAAACAGCAGCACAGCTTAGCCCAGTCTACCTTACACATGCTCAGAGCACTAAAAGTAGTCTACGAATGGGGCAAATCATCCTATAGAAATCCTGTTTTGTAATGAAATGTTCAATATCTCATGCAAATACTTGGATCCATAAACATGCTGGTGAAATAGCTTACTGTAGAGCATCAGGCATTTGCCCTCATGATAACACAGCTGGCCCAGAGCTATTCTCACTGCCACTGCCCAAGATCACCAGTGAGTACTCTACCATGCATTGCTCTCTCAGAAAGGAACACAGTGAGCCATATGGCATTGACTAAATGCATGTCATAGCCTCACCATGGTCAAGTCAAAACATGTGAAGTCATGGTCTCACTGAACCAATAATGTAGTTCACTTACACCTCTGGCTCTCCCAGTCTCCTTTTCTTCACCGTAACACTTAACATCCTCTAGAAATTTATGTATTGGCTCCATGAGGCCACACATGCAATTGTTTTGTTTGCTGCTGTATCTCTAGCATGGTCCCATGCAATAGGAATTCAGTAAACAGATGTGGAACGGTTGAGTGATTAAAAGAAAAGGCTTTTAAAATTTATTACTTTTCTGTGTAACAGAGTTTTACTGTGGGATTTGAATAGGGAAGCTGTTTACAATAGAGCTCAGAGTTCAGAACAGTGAATAATTTTGGAAGAATCCTTGGACAGATCTAAGCCATGTTTCCAAGTTCTGTGCACATCACCACAGGGACTTTCTCACAAGCCCTGCCCCTTTAACCAGTTCTGTGATTTTCCTGGGATTTCTCTCCCTTTTTCTTTTAGTCCCGATCCTGTCTCTCCTGCTGCCCATTATCCATAGTTTTTCTTTCTCTAAATGGTGATTCAAATAAAAATTTCTTTTTTTGTCAACTAAACATTTCTACACAAAAAAATTTAAACAGTACCAGTAGAGAACAAATCAGTACTATCTCTGCTAACAAAAAACACAAGGAGGAAAGCCAATTAAAGACACAATACTGCTTACAATTGCTCCAAAAATAGTTAGTGCTAGAGACTGAACCTACCAAATTTATAGAATGGAGCCCTAACCTCCAATGTGATTATATTTGAAGATGAATTTTTAGCAGGTACTGAAGGTTAAATGAGGTCACAATTGTAGGATCCTGATCTGCTCATGTTGGAGACCTTAAGGGAAGAGGAACATTAACCCATTTTACTCTAAGATCACACCAAGAAAAAAGACATGTGAGCACAGACAGAGAGCCCTCGTTTTTGTGTGGCACAATTGCAGAAGAAACTCTTTAAGACCAAAAAAAAAGAACCAAGACCATTAACTTTGAAGGCTATTTTTGAAAGATTCAAGAAAAAGAAGAAATGTAAAAAGAAGAACTACATGCCAAAATTAAAACCAAGAGGAAGTCCAAAAGGAAAGAGAAACACTAGAAGGTCGCAAATAGATTTTTAAAAAATCAAAGATAAAGGAGCTACATTCCCAATTTTACAATCTGAGGATGGAAGGAAACCATCATCTTGGAGGAAAATTTTAAGTTTTAAGCAAGCTGTTGCAAGAGGATGCATGTGTGTGTGTGTGTGTGTGTGTGTGTGTGTGTGTGTGTGTAACCAGGGATTGAACTCAGGCCCTTGTGCTTGCCAAGCAAGTGCTTATCCTACTGAGCAATCTCCCTGGCACCGAGGATTTTTTAAGTGTCTTGAAGAACTGAACTATGAACAACACCTTAAAGAATCATTGAAACAAATGAAAGTTGGTGAAGATTTAGAAAAAGAAGACCTTCATAGACATAGATACAAATACTTGGATGATGATGGCTCCATTTCTCCTATTGAAGAGTCAGAAACAGAAGATGAGACAGCACATCTTGAACATGATGTATGTGATATAAAATTAGTAGAGGAGAGTTCATTCATTATAAGTTCTGAATTTCCAAGCAAGATGAATGTGTTTTTACCAGGACAGAATATTAAAGAAGCTGCTTTGTCTATAAAGAGAGTTTCTAAGGCCAGAAATAAGGGACAGAGGGCAGAAATATCTGAAAAGGAAATAAACATGTGAATGTCAAAGAAAGTAAACAATATAAAAAAAGTGGGGGTGGAGTTTAGGTAGGAAGAAATGACTAAAGATTAACACGGAGATACCTTTGAAGTCTTAAACCAAGAACTAAGGAGAAGAATAAAAATTTGAATAACTTTGTGGAAGAAATTAAAGAAATAAAAATATTTCAAATTTTCAAATACTGGCGAAAAGCTGAGCTTTCACTTACTGTAAGTGAATTCTTCTGCTCTTTATCAATGCTTGTTACTCAGTAAAAACTCAGGAGTCACTGGAACATCGAAGGAAAACCTCAGTCATTGGCATCCAACCAGGTTCTGTAGATTCTTGGGAACACTATTTTTATTTATTGTTTTTCTTTTTTCTTGTTTCATTTTTTCCCATAACTTTATTGATAAACAAAGAGCAATGAGACAGTTTCAAATCAAATTGGTAGGACAGTTTCAATAATTAACACATTGCATACATTCTTCCTAATGGTTAATTGCTGAACAAGATGCGGACAGGTTATCCTATTGACAAACACTATTAGAACAAGTCCCTCTATTCATTAAGAGAATGTAACTATATATCTACCCTAACCACTTTGAATAAACAGATACAAAATGGACATTCATCCGTATCCCCTTTTTTTGGTTAAGTTCCATTATTTGAATATTATAGGTGCATAAACTCAGCAAAATAGTCTAAAAGACTCCAGTAGCCAATAATAGTATTGAGTCTTCCAATTGACTGGCAATGTTAGAAATTGTTGACCTGAGTCCCCTACACCTCAAAACAAAAGCATGGCTTTACTTCTTATATTTAAATTTTTAAACATTTCTGCTGGATGGTTAAGACCAAGGTAAAGCAGAACCTATGCAACAAGAGTTGTAGCTATTGGGTCTGATAAGATCAGTGAAATCCCCTCAGGATTTATCCTGAGATCCTGTACTTCAGATTGTAGAACCTTTGTCAGTGTCAGCCATGAGGATGAGTCACAGCCATTCCTTGGCCAATATGCTCTCACTGAAAGCCTGAGAGAATGTTTTCTCTCCATGTGACTCTCCTTAGGCACACTCTACACCATCGATCACTTTCCTCTTTGGCCCCATAATCTCCTTGATCAGAAAATTTGGGACACTACTGAGTTACATGACGTTACAGTAAAAGTTCGCATACGTACTGAGTCTTAATTGACATTAGAAGGCTAGGGCCAAAATGATGGCTTTCCTTGCAGCCCTCCTTTTTCTCTAATTTTGTCTGCAAACTTAGGTTGTTACACATCCACAAAACAAGCTTATTGTTATTACCATACAACTTAGGCTGTTAAGCTTAACCACACTATCTGTCTGCATATCAAACATCTTAGGCATAACATAGAACACGTATTTTTCAACAACTATTGATATGTTGAAATTTAACTCCCTACAGAATATAATAAAAAACATTTAAAAATTAGATTATATTTCAAAAATAGGCATAAAGAATTATATACTTCTTATGTTTACACATAAATCCAAAAATCTCACCATATACAACCTTGAAGAAGGACAGTCACAAAATATTCCTTTTCTGTCTCTTGCTTTCATTCACCACCCCTTTCTTCTTGAACATCCACCTACCCGAGAGACATCTTAGCAGTAACTGGCATGTCATGACAAGCAGCCCATATTCAGAAGACCAGAATGACAGGCTCTCCAAGCATGAAACTACTATTACAAATTACCATCTGCAGTGCAGTTGCTTAGTTCACAGGTATCAGTATATATAGTTAGTCAGGGTGAGAATCTTTTCAATTAAATGCTAGATTCAAAAATCTTCTGGAGATTCTCAGGATCATTGCCTTGCCCATCTTCTACATATAAATGTACGGCTTGAGTTATTCATGTTTCCTAGCTCTTCTCCTTTCCCTCTCTTGGTAAGTTAGTCCTTGAGATCCTGCTTTCCTTTTACTTGTATTGTAACTTTCTATTTGTATTTCTTCTTTTGCATTCTTCTACTAGAGAAACTATACGATATTTACACATGTGTGTCTGGTTTATTTCACTTATGAGTATATGTTCAAGTGGCATCCACTTCAATATAAAGGCT